CAACACCTTGAATGCTACTCCGATTATGATCACGACGCCAGAAAAGTGGGACGGCATAACGAGGTAAATTCAAAATGATGATTAATAAATTAGTTTTTAGGACATATCCATCATTTGATTAAGTGTCTATGCACGTCAGTATAGTTGCGATAATTTATTCCTGGTTTTCAGAAGCTGGAACACTCGAGAATACGTAAGGAAAGTGAACCTGATCGTCATTGACGAAATCCATCTCTTGGGCGTTGATCGTGGAGCTGTATTGGAAGCGATCATAACTAGGTTCGGCAGTTATCTTGGGAACTGGTGTGTGCCAGTACGATTGGTTTTTGGCCCAGGGAAGTAGGAGCGCCTGAACGTGGAAAGAAAGAGCTACGCATACGTCGTGCAAGAGAATAAATGCGGGTAATCCACTCATTTCAAGGAGGAAGGGCACTTTTTGGAATGGGTCGAGATCGATTTGTTAGGTTATACCATTCGAAAATGAGGCAAGAACTTTTAAAATGACCGCCAGTGAGGAAAAAAAAGGAAAAAGACTTAGAAAACATTGGAATTGAGAACCGCCCATTGTGAGATTGACCGTGGAATGACGGTCGAGTTCTGAAGAACTGTTCCTCATTTCCAGTGTTTTTGGAGAGACTAGGTCGTACCCTGGCGACAGCGCATGGTTGAAGCAGTAAAAATGGTAACAATCGTAGAGATCAATGCAGTGCGTCGGTACCTTTGTCGCGCCCTTTTAATCGAGAGAGTTCAACGTCTCCTTTGCTTTGGGACACTGTTTCCTTGTTCACGGAGAAAATTGCTCGCAAAATCTAGCTGAGAGCCTTACACTTGAAAATTGCACCTTCGAGGCTATAAGCTAGCTTACGGCTGTTCCGCTCTTGAAGCTGCGTTATAAGGGGGAAAGCTTCATAAGACTTCTACATAGTTGTATCAAGGTTTCTGGTTACTTGTGACAATAAATCCTGCACTATCATCTATACGTATTGATTTCTTTTCCTGATTCGTTTCGTTCAAGGTTGAAGTTGTTGACTCGAAGGTCTTGCGTACGTGAATCTCCTGCGCGACTTCTTGGACTTTCAACAGCCCTTGCAAATGCTGGAGACGTGGCCGAATGGTTGGGAATTAGAGACGTCAGTACCATTTCTGAAATTTTTCATCTTCCAAGATGAGGATTCATTGGTAGGAATCGAAGTATCGTTGCTAATGAAAATACTTTAGGAAGGTCTCTTCAATTTCCGGCCATCTGTTCGACCAGTGCCAATCGAGGTCCATATTCAAGGTTTTCCCGGTCAACATTATTGTCCTAGAATGGCGCTCATGAACAAACCAGCTTTCAAAGGTACCATATTTCAATTCGCGATATAAGCTGTTGTTCTTTAATTCGTGCTTCTATAGTAATGGTTCTGTTTTTGCGCTCTCCCAAAAAGTAGCGACTTTCATTGTGGTGGACTACGTGAGTGGAAAAAAGAAAACTGAAAAAACAAAAATGCGGGTCAGATCCATGAACTGCGAAATCACAGAGTATCTTCTCAGACCTTCAATTGGTCTCGCTGTATTTTTTGGATATCCGCCAAAGTTTTGCTTCACCTACTCATCTTGAGCCTTTCAGCTATCATCACTTACTCTCCGCTGAAACCTGTCCTAGTTTTTGTGGCATCCAGAAGGCAAACTCGCTTGACGGCGATGGCATTCATAAGTCATCTAGTGGCGGAAAGTGATCCTCGGCAATGGCTTCATGTTGATATGGCTGAGGTTTGTGTGAAGTCTAGCAAATGTGCTTCCGAATATTGGGTTGAGCAGTAGTTTTCCGCCGTTTTTCTTACGAGCGGTTCCCGAGATTTCCTTTGTCATTTTCATTTTGATGTAATTCGAGAGTCCGCAATCTTCTGCACATTCTATTTAATTACTTTTGTATATTTGTTACAGAATTAAGTTCAAAGGACGCAAAAAAAGTTCTGAGTGACCACAGGTTAACTTCCTACCATATGTATCTCATTCGATCTTGCGCTTGAGATCCCCACAAGTAACAAGTAGAGCTCAGCGCTTTTATGCCTATTATTTTACTCATACTTGGGTCATTATTTATTTATAGGCCCTATGGCGATGTGAACTGTAAATCGATCTAGGATGTGAACCGTGGCGCCACTTGTCACACGTTTTACAGTTCACATACTGGATCGCCTAAGCTAACTAAGCTTTTCATTCCACAGGAGTTGCTAACAGACTCGCTGTGAGGATAAACCACTAGCTTTCACAATGGCTGGCAATCGAAAGTCATTCCATATCACATTTCACTACAGGCCACACTCAAATGTCTCCTTTTCAATGCGTTTCGCACTTCAAAGATTGATTGATCCAAGCCTAATGTTTCATTCATTATGCTCTATAGGGAGCGTTCAAAACTGAATGCTCTGCTCATATCATGCTCCCATGTGATCTTTATAAAGTAACAAATTCAAAGTTGTTATATATCGAGATATGGGGAAGATCGCAACTTCCACGTTACATCGAAATCGTTGAATATGACTGACAGTGTTCTCAAAAGCCATTAGCCAAAGCCAGAAAATTCTTGCTCAACCCCGAAATGCGTGATTTTTCAATTTTCAGCTGGAAGTGTTACTACAACATGTGAAGGACGAAAATCTCAAGCTCACTTTGCCATTTGGTATAGGGATGCACCATGCTGGTCTCTCTTCCCACGAAAGAGCTCTTGTAGAACAGGTATGTCTCGCACCTGCTTTTAATTGATTGAAAAACGTGTTCTTGCAAAGAACTGACCTAAAAAGTCTGCCGTGCCATTGAACTGTGCCATTGAACTCCTTCATAGGTCGCGACTCGTGCGAGTCGGGTGTTCTGGTGTAAGGCAGACATGGGTGTCGATCTGACAATCTGGATACAAATGTGATTAAGTGGTTAGGCGCTTTGGCGGTTCCACTGATAGGTTTATGTGCACATTGTGTGCATGCCTCGCCCTATGATATTAGGTCGGTCCACAATTTTTGAGAACCTTTGGTGTTTTTCGATTTATTACTTATCTTATTTCTCTGATCTACTTATCCAGCATAGTATACATCATTATTATTAACAACATATCACCAATGCGAGGGTGGGTATTCAGTGCCTCTCTTGTGGACTTTCATAGAGTTCTGATCGAAGGAAAATTGTAGTCCCGAATCAGTTCTCAACCCAATCTGACATCATCAAGTTCCTGTTGGTTTCCCATAGTTCCTTCGGATGACCATCTATAATACTCATTGGTGATGTGGACTGGGTGCAGTGTGCTAACAAATCCACGAGCCGCAGTAGATTTGCTCAAACGATTCGGGAGTTCTGACAGTAAAAACCCAACTCCCTCTGAATTCGAACTTCCTGAGTCGTTGGCGCAATACGGGAGGGCCTTTGCGCTGAAGACCGGCATCAACTAATACCAGTGTCAGTGATGGGAAGAATCGTTGACAGCTTGATGGCAACGCCTTCAACTTGAAAGCAAAGGAAGACAAAATCTATTTTTTTCTGAGGTCGTTCGAGCCCGCCTTGCTAAGAAAATTCCTAAAAAATTGGAGACTCTCGGGCGGTCAGTTCTTTTAGCTCCGCCTTGTAGCACTAATCCTGCGTCAACGAACGACTATCCGCTCTCCTCTCTCAATCACCTTCTGGAGAAGAAATCTCACTTGAATCACCATAAAGTCAAAATCGACATCCAATATTTCTTCGATCAGAACTCTATGAAATTCTACAAGAGAGACACTGAATACCCACCCTCGCATTGGTGATATGTTGGTAATAATGGTGATGTATACTATGCTGAATAAGTACATCAGAGAAATAAGATAAGTAATTAAATCGAAAAACACCAAAGGTTCTCAAAAATTATGGACCGACCTAATATTTTGATGATGAGTTGGGTCGGCGATCTTGCAGTCGATACCTAAAGCTTGATCGCTAAATCGTACAAGTTGCGAGCAATGAACGCGACCCTGACTTCGATTCTGTCCCAATTTCCTTTTCCTGAAGCCGTTCAAGTTAGCAGAATGTTTTATTCCAGCTCTTCCTGGAGAAAAAGATCCAGGTTCTGATTGCAACGGCAACACTAGCATGGGGGATAAACATGCCGGCACACTTGGTAATTGTGAAAGGCACAGAGTACTTTGATGGGAAAACATCTAAAGTATGTGGACTATCCCGTTACCGGTAAGTTCTGGCTACTGCTGTTGTTTCTACCAGTGCAGTAATTCGCTTTAGACGTGCTGCAGATGATGGGCCGAGCTGGTAGACCGCAGTTTGACTCGAGTGCCGTGGCAGTTATATATGTGCAAGACGTAAAGAAGACGTTCTACAAGCGATTCCTCTATGAGCCGTTTCCTGTTGAATCGAGGTGAATTGCCATTTTATCGTGTAGCGTCTCTCATTTTCTTCTTTGCAGCCTTCTTCCTGTCCTTGCGAATCACGTGAATGCTGAGATCAATGCAGGGACCATCACCAGTAAACAGGGCATTATGGAATACATTGCTGGTACCTACTTGTATAGACGACTGTTTGCCAATCCAAAGTATGTTGACTTTTTCGAAAATTATAGGTTTCTTCGATTTTCTAGGAAATATATAAAATTTCGAGTTTTTAGATTGCAGGTGTCTTCTATGTGTTCTTATGAATTTTCTATGTTACTCCATACTTTTGTTCTACGCCCTTCTTTTCGCTGCTACTTAGCCCTTTGACGACAGGGTCACGGCAGCTGATTCCTTTTCCTCCACTTTGATATTCTTGGATTTTTTCAAGATTAAAGATGCACACAATCTCATAACAAGCTTTTTTTCAAGAGGAAGCTCAAGAACTCTTGAAAGAATAACACTCGAAATGCTAAATGTTCACCTGTATCACCTGTCGTCCCGTTGATCATCGATTTGCTCGAGCGGGCGCCAGCAACGTCTCCATTCGTCCCTGTCGCGTGCAAGAGTTGTCCAGTGGACCCTCCTCGCTCGAGGGACACGAAGTCCTTCATTCCTTTCGTTCAGAGCTTTCGTGAAGAAGTCTGACCATCGGGCCGGCGGTCGTCCAGGTGTTCGTTTGACGTCCCGAGGGATCCAGTCGGTAACCGCTCTGGTCCAACGGTCATCGCAAAATCGCATGACGTGTCCGGCCCACCTTATCTTCGATTCCTTGGCGAAAACGGCAGCGTCCCTGATCTTCGATCGTTGGCGTAGTTCGGAACTCCGGATTCCCCTCTGCACTTGCGTGTATAGGGTTACTCCTAGCATCGTCCTCTCGACAGCGCGTTGGATAACGCTGACCGCATGCTCGTCCTGCCTGCGCAGAGTCCAAGTCTCTGAGGCGTAGGTTAGGGCAGGAAGGACAGCGGAATCGAAGAGGTGGGCACGGAGCCGGATGTTCTTCGTCTTCTTCACTACTCCCTCGATGTTCTTATACGCTCCCCATGCCGCTCGTTTCCTCCTGCTCAGCTCTGGAGCTAGATCGTTCATCATATTGATTTCCCGACCTAGGTACACGTAGCTGGAGCATTCGGTGATGTTCGTTCCGTTGAGCGTGAATGGGGCATCAGGAACCAATCCGTTTCTCATAAACATCGTCTTCGTTAGGTTCAGCTGTAGACCAACCTTACCACAGGCGCAGTCGAAATCAGCCAGCATTCGCTCCGCTTGCTCGATGTTCGGCGTTATAAGAACGATGTCGTCAGCAAAACGAAGGTGGTGTAGTTGCCGGCCGTCGACCTTCACTCCCATGTCTTCCCATTCCAGTTGACGCATGACGTTCTCGAGAGCGGCGCTGAAGAGTTTGGGCGAGATGGTGTCGCCCTGTCGAACCCCTCTCTTGACGTCGATGATGACCTCCTTGTAGAATGGTGAGATTCTGGTCGTAAAGTTGCTGTAGAGCTCACGAAGAATCTTGATGTACTGAGTAGGGACGCCCTGGTTGCCCAAGGCTTCGATGACCGCTTCTGTCTCCACAGAGTCGAAGGCCTTCTTCAAGTCGATGAACGTGAGACAAAGCGGCATCTTGTACTCTCGTGAAACTTCAATGAGTCTTGTAACCGTGTGGATATGGTCGATCGTGCTGAACCCTCTTCGAAACCCTGCTTGCTCGCATGGCTGTCCTTCATCCAGTATTCTGCCGATCCTGTTAAGGATGACTCGAGTGAATAGCTTGTAGATTACAGACAGCAGGCAGATTGGGCGATAGTTGCCAATGTCGTCCAAGTCTCCCTTCTTGTACAGCAACACGGTCCTGCTGGTTTTCCACGGAGTGGGTACCTTGCATTCCGACAGGTAGCGCGTGAAGAGTCGAGCCAGAGTTTTGATGATAACTGGCGGTGCATTCTTCAGATGTTCCGGTTTAACCCTGTCGAGACCGGGTGCTGTACGATTCTTCACCGACTTGATGGCGTGTCGGACTTCGGAAGAGAGAACTGAGGGGACGACGTATCCATCCTGTTGCAGTTGATAAGTAGGCAGATGGACATGGCTATCGAAGAGATCCGAGTAGAAGTCGTGGATGACTTTCTCCATTGCCCTTCGGGATGCAGTAACTGTTCCATCCGGACGTCGGAGGCAGGTCATCTTGGTCTTGTAGCTGGCAAAGCTTCGGCGGGCATTGCGGATGCTCCTCCCAGCCTCTGCTGCTTCAGCTAATACTGCTGCTCTTCGCTCCTTGAGATCTTCCTTTATCGCCTCTCTGCATAGCTTCGCAAGCTCGGACGTGAGTGATTGCCTGCAGCTCGTGCGGCTCCACGCTGGCGTATCAGCTCGAGAGTTTCCGAGACAGACGTCCCTTGGTGACTTCAAACTCTCTGCCTTCCTGCCACTCTCGTGAAGATGTTCAACGAGCCGATGATATTCCTCGTCGATGTTTTCGATAACGGAATCCTCCCATAAGCTGACAAGAGAAGTGAAGTGATCCCAGTTGATGACTGTCCTGGGGCTTCGCTTCCTGAACTTTGAGGCTCTCTCAACACGCATCGAAAAGTGGAACTTTGCGCGGAGGAGACGATGGTCCGATCCCGTGTAGAACTTCGGAACAACAGCGACGTCGGTCAGGCAAAACCTTCGATTGAAGATGATGTGGTCTATCTCGTTATGGAACTGTCCATCAGGTGACTCCCAAGTCCAACGAAGGTGAGAGGGCTTTTGGAACTGTGAGTTACCATGGATGGTGTTGGTCGACATGATAAACTCAGACAGTCTCACCCTGCTCATTCCATTCCATTCCGTGAGTACCGATGTGAAGTTCTTCAGCCGTTCTTCTTGGGCCAATCTTAGCGTTGAAGTCGCCGACGATGACCTTGAAGAAGGTATGATCTTCCCTGTAGAACTTCTCCAATTCCATATAGAATGCTTCGTGTTCCTCTCGTCGTAGCTGGATGTTGGTGCGTAGGCGACGAAGATTGTCAAAGCAGGAGTTGAACCACATCCTCTTGTCATGTCATCTTGAACCACATCCAATGCTAAATGTTAACAAAAAAATATCAAAGGAATCTTCCACGGAAAAAGCCCCGCCCTCATTACCACAGAAAACGATACCTTAAAGGAATCTTCCACGGAAAGAGTGATGGAGTGGAAAGAGTGCAGTTAACGGAATCGGTTCAGCTCATTTTTCGCGAAGTAGCCTCTTTCTGAACTAAGCAGTTTTGTTTTCCGGTTTTAGCTTGCGATTTCTTGCTGGAAATGTTGCAAGAGATTACTTCACAACTTGTCCGGCAATTTTCGCCCAGCTCTCGTTCGCTTATTTTGAAAGGCCACTGGCGCACTTCGATCACCATTTGATGCTCGCTTACGGGAAGAGATCGCGAAGTATCTCTATTGAGCGCTGCAGCGCTTCTTTTGATAAACTCATTGGTGCGTCCTTTTCCTTTCGACTGGATTTACAACTATCCTCCGATCAGGACTACCTCACAGGAACCCGTCGCGCGGCAAGAAGGCAGTGTCAACGGACGAATCGTAGCGCGTACTGTAGTTATTTCGCGTCAAGTTTCACATCAAGCTCCCCGACCCGTTCTCTACTCCACCGTTTGCCCCGCGACAGGCCTCTTGTCGGGTACCGATGCAAAAGTGAGGGTGCTGGTGACGATGAGTTGTGTAGAGGCAAAATTTCCTCTTTGGAAGTGGTTGTGCCACTATGCCAGATCCCGAAAATTGAGTTTTATGTCCCATGGATCACATTTTGGCAGAACTGCTGTGCCCTCCATTTAATTGTTTTGTTTCTGCACATTCGTGCGCCAGAATATGAATATGAAGTCAAAATGTGCAATATTCTCAAACCCTTCTCAGCACCTCGATTTGATTACCTGTGACTGTTTAAGCTACTATGGCCTCGAAGACCTCTCTGACAAATCGCTCGTCGCATTTTTGGTTGGAGTAGTCGATCAGTGTGTTGCTGATCTGCTGGATTCAAAGTGCCTTATCATTGACGAGGTATCTTTCATCATTCCATTTTTGCTTTAAATTACCTTTCCTATCTGCTTATTTTGGTCTTCAGGAGACTGGAGAGTTACGCTCTTCGCCGTATGGTCGTATTGCTAGCATTTACTATCTTCGTCATGAGACCATGAAGTTTATGTTGGACGAAATTGGTCCGGATGACACAATTGAAGATCTGCTCAAAACGCTTTCTGTGAGATGTTGCCGTTGTAGTTTGAAGCGCTGTCGCCATTCTCAATTATTGTGGTCCATCATGGAGCACTTGTTATCTGCTTGGTTCTTTCAGCACGTTCCCGAATATGGCGAAATACCTGTGCGGCACAATGAAGATGTTGTGAACACGTGAGTAACTAAGCTGTTAGGCAAAGTTCTCGACTGAATTCTTTCACATACCACTAAAGTATGCTTTCTTTTTCAGTCAGTTGCAGCGGAAACTGCGGATAAGATTTGCCACAAGCGTAATGGACTCCTCTTACACGAAAGCGCACCTTTTATTCCAAGTGAGTCTGATAGTTGCTCTACGTTTCAACCCTGGCAAGCATACTCTTTCGCGGTTTTCAGTAGCATAGCTAGGAAGATTCGATGGTCCAACACGCTTGCGTATAACTACCTAAACAATGAAAGCAAGGGCAGGTAATAACGAACTGGCTGACATTCGCTCCTGACTACTCTAAGCGCCTTTAGCGCAGGCACCAATTTTTGCTCCGAAATCTGATGTTTGTTATCTTGGAGTCGGAATCCCCGTCCCACTCAGTTATTCCGCAGATTGGTGGGTTTGTACCTAGAGGTCATCATCAGTGGACAGCGAATCGCATACATAGGGAGCCTGGTGGCGGTAGTTGAAAGAAAATGGTACAAAAAGAAAACCCGCAAGATTAACATGGGCAACTGAGCAAGTCAATGCCTTTTTAGTGTAGTGATGCAATTCTGTGTAGCTGCAACAGTTCAATTTCAGTTTTTGATCAAGTCCAATCTTTTTTCGAAACGTGTTCCTATATCTGTTTTTATTCTCAAATCGCCTCAGACCAAATGTGATATACCTGTTTTTCGGATCGATTCACCTCTGACTGAATACCTAGCCAAAATAGTTCAACAACAGATTCCGAGAAGCGCATACAATTAGGAATTCTTTTATTTCTCTTCGAAAGGAAAGCTGTAGGGGACACATGGTTTGGCTCTCCTTTTTCTGCGTATTCTTTGACAACTTAATCAAATTTTATAGGCACATTTTTCTCGCACGGATGTTCCAACTGATTACCGTACGGATATGAGAAGCGTACTCGACCAGTGTGTGCGCATATTACAGGTACATTTCAATTAGGAGTTATTTTTCAGTTTGTTTGCTATTTGTCTGCACTGTGGGTTTGCTGATTTTTCTCCTTCTCGTGAAAATCCTTTCGATCTTTTTCAAGGCTATGCGCGATGTCTGTCAGTTGAATGGCTGGCTATCAACAGCACTACGAATAACAATACTCCAACAGATGTGTCACACAGGACGATGGCATGACGACCATCCTTTGTTGTGCTTGCCACACTTGAAGATCTACGACGCGGAGAGAATTGGGTATCATTTTCACTGAATCTTCCAATGATCCGTCTTCTCTGTGCTCTATTTCCTGAATCTCAGCACGGGCATAAAACATGGTTAAGCGCGTCTTCCGGAGTAAGAGTCGAAGGGTAAGGTGGGTCTTATTGGTTAAGTCAGAGGACTGGGATCGTATTTAGCAAAATTATTTATTTTATTGTTTTTGATTGGTTGCTAAAAGGGGTTTAACTTCGTAGTTGCTTTGCGAATGTTTCCCAAAGAATGCCGAGTTATTAGCAAAACTTTTGCCACCTTCCTCCCTGAACCCGCACCCCTGGCTTTCCGGGCTGTAGTGCTCTCGATTACATCACGAGGGCACCTTTTCACTTCTACTCGGCTTATTTTTGCTAATCACCATAGCTTATCAACACTCACACGTCTGAAGTGATAACCAGGTAGTCGATATCGGCAGTGAACCGCAAGCCTGAAAGCTCGAGCAGATATAACGGTTATTGTTGGTTTTGGTTTGTTAATTGTCTGTTTTAACGCCGCAAATCGCGCTGCGATTGTTCTACAAAAATGCTAGTTATGTTTACCTTTTGCACATAAGTCTGCATTATTATGAAATCGGTAATGTTACGAAGTGTTACAGCACAAGTTTTTTATTGAGTATTCAGTTTTTATTTTTGAAGATTTTCCGAAATTTGAGGACATTTTCTGAAATTTGAGATTTTCCTACGGCGCTTCTCAGCGCATTACATACCCCGAAGCAGAAGGTAAGCAATCTCTAAAGGGCTCCCAGCATACGTGGCGTGAGCGAAGACTCACACTCAATAGGCGAAGCGTGATCTGTCACAAGCTCTCATAATTCTGTTCCGAAAAGTTTCGGAGGGCGAGAAAAGGTATAGGTCAAAGGAGGGGAGGTCCAATGTTGGATGGTGAGCATGGCGTGCAACAAAGTGGGCGGGGTTCGCTACCAAACTTGTGGAGACAGTCCAGTGACGGAAAAAGTAGGTAGAGGTTGGCGAGGAAGAAAGGACCGATTGCTTTGGTGGGCGAGGCGTGCGCTAAGTTAGGCGGAGTTTACTACAAAACTCATAAATTGTTTGCAGACAGTCTAGGGGCCTGAAAAAAAAATGTTGGCCAAAATAACAAGGTGACAATCGTGTAATAAACCAAATCAAATCAAATCAAATCAACTGCTATCGGTGTGCGGGGCGTGGACCGAAGGCTAACCTCATATGGTGTCCAGAGATCGGGAAAAGCAGGAATTGGGCGGTGCGAAAGCCCACCTTGAACCAGAACCAGCTCTACTGCGCACGCCGAGTAGTGGCGCCAGTGAAGTTGTCCAACCTGTGAATCAAACCATTAGCTGAGACATTTCACAATCGTCTTACTATCGGGTACGTGAACCGTATGACCTACTTTCCGCAGGTTGCTCAGTTTCACTCACACTACCACTCATTATACGTGGTACGGTGCGGAGCTAAACTATAGAAATACGGGCGTTCTTGCTTCAATGTGTGGATGAGTATAATGCCACTGTCGCACGATTCGCTAAGTCTGACACGGCCATAGGCAGCGCGATGTGAGCACCGATTCGAGAGAACAGCAGGCGAGAAGAAGGGGGCACATCGGGGAGTGGTTCGATAGATAAATGATCACAATAGCAGGTGGACGACCATTAACTGGGCGGATCGACTAGGTTTTGACGCATAATGACGTGGTTCAGAGATTTTCTGCCACGACGACGTCTCGTGCCATAGTCTACAGCCGCTGTCCTTTTTCGCGACACTACACTCGCTTGGTCGTAGGGCGTACTTTCTAAAAATATCTCTTGTTTCTGTCGTGCCTCTAATCCTTTCTATTACTTCGTTTGTTAGAAGTTCTTTAAAGGCGCTCGCATTGCCAGTGTTCCATAAGAATACTTTGTTATGAAAAAAACTTTTGCCCGGGCGAGAATCGAACCGCTTCTCTCGCATATGTGCGCTACAAGCTATGCTACCTTGGCCACCGTTTTGCCCTATCCCAGCTCAATAAGCAACGGTAAATATACCTTGAAAAGCTGAGTTAGAGCGAAACGGTGTCCTGGTAGCGTTGCCCAGTAAGCGAGAGGTGCGGGTTTGAGTCCGGCCAGGGCGCAAGTTTTGTTCATGACCTAGTATTCATGTGCACCCTTCCCTTGCTTCATCTCATGTTCTCAAAAGTGCTGCGTATCACTTGGAATGAGGAGAAAAATTGAAGGTCCCGGTTTTCCTCATGCTTTCTTCATCGAGTCACCCTGTCAAATTTCTATAGTTCATGTGGTGCTCCTTTCGTAAAATTAATCTGTATACCGAACTTCGAACGATATTTTAAAGGGACCGATCCACCATTCCACTCTTACAACATCAGTTTGGTGTGGAAAATGCGCAAGGAACAGATGATGTAGAAAAACGGGCTAAGAAAACACTGTTTGAAAACACAACATTGGAGGAAACGGAGATCAAGGGAGGTTCGTAATTACATCACTCATCGTCATCACTGCGGATTAGCCCTATAATATGCGTAGCTGACTTTCATAACTCTCAAAAAGTAAAATAAATACCTTTTGATCGATATTTTTCTATGTTACCTCTTGTGACACATCTTTTCTCACTCGGAATAAATGATTATGCGACAATTTCAAAGCTGCTGGGACATCATTGGGTGTTTCGTTTGCTATAGGCTGACCCTTTCGCATATTGGACGCTTCCTCTTCAAATTTGATATTTAATTTTCATTAGAAGTTTGTAGAACAAGTTGGATTTGTTTCTCGATTTTTGCAGGTTGTTCGAGCTCTATGTCGATGGCCCATCCTTTCCATAAGTGGACTTCGTTTGTCAAGAAATGCGAAAGAGCTTCGAATCGATGATGAGGACTGGTTGCAGTTAGAGCGCAATACCTCTTATAAGTTGCAGTTTCACATAGATATGCTTGGACCAGGTCGGGTGAGTGATGCTACTCATATTCTCTTTAATACTGACAATGAGAAAGTCCGGAATTTCCGATCGCATAAGGCGCGTTTATGCCTCGACTGTATTAAAATAAATTGCCTTTTAACGACACCGCGTGTATGGCGCTTTTGGCCCATGGGAGAGGACCGATTTTGAGAGCGCACTGATCTTAAAGGAAGTGGTCACGGAAATTCCTATGGAGACGACGTGAAAGTGACATAGTGGATTGGGTAGGGGTCCTACCCAATGGGACGACAGGTGACTTCAGGGGCAGTGGCGCCTTATCAACGGCGTGATAAGGCGCCGAAACCCACTTTCGGTTCGGCGTTGCATGACTTAAAGAATATTTTTACTTCGGTTATTTCACTACAAACACATGCATCACAGAGATTCTTGCCATCAAAAAGGTTTTGCATTTACGTCTTCTTGACCTTTTTTATGAATGTTTATGTCAGTAAAAAGAAAGTATCTAAGAATTGAATTGAAATTTCTATGTGGTTCAGAAAATCCTTGCAAAATCAAAGCATGTTCGAATGACATACATTGCGCGTCAATGTGTTCAAAAGTAAAATTTGGTCGTATGATGCCGAGAATTCATAAGCTAGTCTGCAGCAAGTTTACCATGAATTCAAAAAAAAATGAGATTGAACAAACGCTGTTGAATTGCCCAATTGCTGCTGTTGTAGGTTTGTTGCGGGTACGAATGGGATTGAATCCTGGCCTGACCTTTCGTATTTCTCGTTATCGTCAGAGATTGCTATTACGGTTTTGCGGTTACTTAGGCGTTGGAAATTTTTTAATCTTCTGACGGTGACATTGGGATCATAATACAAGAGGGGGGGGGGGCAAAAAGAAAAATAGTCGCTAAGAGCGGTCTTGCACATTCACAGCTAGTGTCTCTGAGAAGCTATTCAACAATTAATTGAAGAAATTATGTAGCAGCTTCAGGCCGGAGCGATTACGGTAAGCCTCGTTGAGCTCGACGGTGACGGCAGATGACGTCATATTCTGAAGACGGTGGGGGCAGTGAAGGAGGGCTGCTTCTGCTTTGGGGGACACCTAAGGAATATTCTGCCGTAAAACATTCATCAACAACGGCATCCTGTGCGACGAAAAATTGATGGTGTGCGCCATGGGTGAAGTTTTGCCCCCCCCCTTCCCCTGTAGATCTACGTACCCCGTGCCTAACTGCTGGACAATGTGACCGTTGGTTAGATTTCTATCGCATGCGCTCTTCTATGGGTGTGATGGTGTTCTGATGCAATAGTTGGACGGATAATAGTAATCTCAGATGGAACCGTTCGTGATATACGAGAAACCTTTTTTGCACAACGGAATTCTTCATCCATTCCAAAGCTTCTTCCCCAGGCTTAGGCAAAAATCGTCATCTTCCCGTTGAGTTGCTCTGTCAGAATTCAGTGAAAATTACTACTCACACTGCTTGTGTACACAAACTGCAACAAATAGCGAGATGGTCCTACAATATGCCATATTTAGTTCAACACTGAAGCCTACCTGACACAATGGTCTAAAGAGAAAACAGCCGGATGGATAGTGATTCTCGGAGAAAAGGACAACGACAGGATGATATCACTGTGTTATGTGAGCGCAGTTCAGAATGACCGCACTGTTCGAATGGATTTTGTCACGCCGGACAAGAGGTTTGTAAATCATTCTCTGCTCAAATGCGTTTCCACCTACATACACTATGCATAAATACTTGGCATTTTTCAGAGGAAGGTGTTATTTGTGCGTCTTCATAATGTCCGATTGTTATCTAGGGATCGATCAAGAACTACAGATCAAAGCCGATCTGATATGATGACCTTTTCGACTTTCTAGGACCTTTCAATTTTCATTGCATTTGCCTTTCTTTTGGTCAAAGACACTGTAAAACTTTACTATAACACTTAAGTTTTCGAAAGCGCTACGGTTTGTGCTCTTCAAGTCTAGTTTCATTATCTCTGTGATTTCCACATGTTTTACAGGTGTTGTTGATTTGGGTTCATTTGTTGACCATTTAAATATAAAGCTATATACTTTTGATTACAGAACTACTAGTCCGACCTTCAATTTCACTTCTCCTTCTTATTTTCGCTGTGATTGATTTACGAAATGAAATGAGAGTGATAAGTCTATTTCGAACGTGATTTCAAGGAAACATCTGTAGAATTCAAGTAGGAGCTTTGTGCAGGCGAGTGTTGCTCTTTACGCCCACATGTGAAAGTTTACGTCTGGGCCACTTATGGAGGAAAAAACGGACTGATGTATAGGTTGTGAGGGAAATTTTTTGCCGTTTCCGACAATTTAAGTTTCAACTTTTCATAAGCTTTCAGTAAACCGCTACTTTTTGCATACCGTTTGAAAGCGTTTTTTTTTTGCTTTGTCAAAGGCTACTCTCAGCTTCGCCCCAGCACGATTACTCTAGCTTTGTCCGAGTCTTCAAACGTAACATGCTCAAAAAGAAACTCTGCACGTTTTTCTTCTACCTTGAACTATGGTAGAATGGAGCGAAATCAGCTTATGATCGAAATATACGTTTGGCCTCACAATTACAAAAAAATGCGCTGTGCAGCAATCATTAGGACGACTTGTGTAAGGATGGTGAGGGTGGTCGTTGGATATCGAGCGTTAGTGAAAAGTAGCCGAAAGATTCATAGATCCAAATGTGCTCAGAGCTGTTGAGAGGGCCGCTAGTGAATTGGCCAAAACTGAGTCACGGTTTCGATTTACATGGTGTAGGTTAAAAAGTCCGGATGTCGATAAGGTCGCCCACGAGAAATCGCGGTCTCGAAGAACCGTCTGCCTTTCTACCATCTCCATCCAATGAAATGCATTGGATTTTTCACCAAAGTATGAACCTCGATTGAGCAGTTGGGCCCCTGAGCTAACAAAAGCTCGCAAAGGTGGAATTGTTCGAGAAGACTCTGCAGCAAGCGTAGCTCGCACAACACAAGCGAAACTGTTACGATGGCACAGTGTTCTTAGCGAGATTTAAAAATACCCGAAATCCTGACACATGCTCTCAGCAAAGGCCGTCATAAATGGTCGACCCTGCAGCGCGACGTACCTTGACCGCCGACCGCAGAACTAACACTGCAGAAAATGAACTTCCACTAACCAGGAAAGGCATTCAACTTCCCATGGAACTTTGAAGATGAGACCCAGATATATCGATAGAGCTTCAAACGCTGATTACAAATATGGAAACTAAAACTGCAAAATGAACCTGCCAAGGAAGTTGTGAGCAGTCAAAGTTGGCTGGAAGTAAAGCATTACACTAGCCTCCGGGCTTTCAAGTCGCCGCGGAGCAGTGGTGGTGCCCTCGCTATTCACCCTGGAGGTCATAAGCTCTCCTCCCGTCGGAGCGCAAATTCCGAGAGCACTACCACTACTCCACGGCGACTTTGAAAGCCCGGAGGCTAGTGTAATGCTTTACTTCCAGCCAACTTTGACTGCTCACAACTTCCTTGGCAGGTTCATTTTGCAGTTTTAGTTTCCATATTTGTAATCAGCGTTTGAAGCTCTATCGATATATCTGGGTCTCATCTCAAAGTTCCATGGGAAGTTGAATGCCTTTCCTGGTAAACCCTACGCGCTTGACCACTTACCTATTCACTGACACTGCTTCAACCGTCCGGATAGCCTCTTCAAACAGAAATGCTTCGAAATTGCCACGATCATAAAACGACTTTCGCCTTCATCTCCCATAGAACACTTCTCTTAGCAAACGAATTGTTCCAAACCTCGTATGGCAAGGATGAGTAGATTGAGATGTTTTTTAGGTAAATAAAAGCGTTGTATTTGAGTCGAGATATGTACAATTGAATCTGAGGATCAAAAAGGGCAAGAACTTCCAGCGCAACCTCATATAGAGGGTCCCAGCTCTCTCTTTCTTTCCCCACCCCCGCCCCAAAACCAAGTTATAGGGAGGCGGTAATTAAAAAAATTTCCATTCTCCCTAAGATTTATCGTCACCTCCTAGACTTACTCTGCATAGGGATGCCTCCCGTAAATCCCCTTGTGCCAGAGAAAAAATGCAAGGAATCCATTCGCAACACAAAAAATAAGATCAGGTCTTCGCCGTTGTTCTGGGACACTGAAATAGCATACTTCGAATGAAGTGCGCCTCATGGAGGAAAGGAGATACAATTGATTTGAAGCGAACGATGCAGGAACCATATGCCATCATTTCCGAGCACCAGGAGACAAACTGGATGCTGACGAATTTTTACCACGCGCTGCGCAGCCATGAAGACGTCGCAAGCTGTGGACGTGGAACAGTTCATCTTAGAAGCAGGTTTATGCTGCTCATGTAATAGCTGAATGTGCCAGGATCAAGGATAAATGCACCATACCTACATGAAAAAGGTTTCTCCATCAAAAGCTCGGAAAGGTAACGTGTGTTGCGTTTTGAGTTACGCATTTCAGTGAACAGTGAACAGTGAACTGAAGATGTGACCAGTTTCTGGAATCACAGGCAACACATATCCGCAGTGAAAGTGGCCCGGTTCTCTATTGTTTCTAGGAACTTGGACCGCAACATCTCGTTATGCGAGCTGCGGGCAGTGTGTTGGCAGAAGAGAGTTCATGTTCCAAAGATGTTTGAACTAAAAAAAAAAGTTTTTGAAGCCTCAAGAAATTCAAGACTTGTGAGATGGTGTGTTCGAATGTTTATTATCTAGACCATAGATAGTTGCTTCGTGGTTTCAGCTCTTGAAATAGCTTTTTCCTGAGCAGTTAAGGTGGTTTCTTGTCCTAAAACATATGTATTATTCGACCTTGGCCAATCACTACTCGAGTGGAACTGCTAGCAAATCTTAGGCCTTTGCGGAGATTTGAGGGTAACAGCGGTTCATCTGGAAGGATTAACAGTATCTGATTTTCGTCCAGACACATAAACATTGTATGGCAAATAGCATTTGAATAGGGTTCCAGGACTTTTGCTCAGTTTCAGAGCTGAGTTCTGGATGGGAAAAGCGTGAGCGCATTCCACAGAGGGTTTGTTCAATGTCCAAGCCATGTAGGTATGGTTCCAACAACCACTATACAAGTTCGTCGACCAGCCCTTGATTGCTTATTTGGTCCACGTGGTCGCATGACTTGTCGGTGCCTGAAATGTGAGGTGCCGCTCATATCGTTACGGAGAAGGAGGGAGCTAGGGGGGAGAGGGGCGTTGAAGTGATAAGTTACTTACAGGACTTGGGACCAAGCATTATAAAGGGGAGGGATTCTGAAGAGGTGTGAGCAACCATTGTTCTCCCTGTGTTTATTCCCAGTCCTGGGCTTAGTCCTAGTGTCACCTACCAGCGGTTTTTGAATGCCTGTTTTGAATGTCCTCCTGAAGACATGAGTGACCGCACTTTTATCATGGATCAAGATGCAGGCGGAGATTTTCGTGTACCACAACAACGTCCAGCTTCTCATTAGGCATGAAACGCGACTCGCAGTACGTTTGGGAAGGGGTGGAGGAAGAGAAAAGTGGGCACAGAATATGCGGTGTGGATCGATATCATTGAGAGGTGATAACTGCATTCATTGTTCAGCGGTTCAGCAGTCTCATAGCGGTTGAGTTGATGGTCAAGCAAGGCCTGTCGGCTGCACCAACAATACTGGAAAGTGCGGTCAGGTTGACTTTGTGACTACATGTGTGTTAGCATAGGACGTACGTTGGGTTTTAGTGCTGCGTTGCTACGCGCTTTACCCCACCTGTAGTGGCATACCTTCACTTGCAACATTACTTTGTGTTTCCGAGACAGATGCACATGTTGTGGAAGGTCTATTTAGGTTCATCCTTGAAATGTCGGTGGTGTCTAGGTATTCGCCATACATACTGTTGTACGCATAAGGACCACTATCGGCAATTTGTCATAAGCTTATTCTATGAACACTTGCTGCCTTATGGCTAAGCACGTTAAGGTCAGCCATAACTGCTTTAACGGGCTTATCCGCCCACCCTTCTTTGCATCACCCGATGACTTGCTTCAATATAGACTGGCATTGGGGGAAGGACCACTTTCGCGCTCATCAGTGCGAAGCAAGAATTTGAGAGCCCAGGGTACTGCAGCCAGTTTAGGGGGTGGAGTGGTTCGATTCGATTAATATGCATGAAAAGCTGGAATGTGTGAGATATTCCCAGAGCGTCTCGTTACGTCACAGTAGTGGACACCGGTACCGATTCCTGACCATTTTTTCGACATCACTAATGCTCATACCTTTCGCGCTTACCGTAGTCAAAAAACAGGCATGCCTCCCCAGCTAGCATTGCACGTTTCACATGATGCTGATGCATATAAATATTACTGAAAGGCGAAATGGAGAAGTCAATAAACGGCAGAGGACAAGTCAACCAACCGTCGGCTTTGCGTATTTGACCGTGGAAGCGTCTGGCTGGCCGAAAAGTCGGATGATTTCGAAGATGAGAGCGCCTGCGATGATATACTGCAACATCAATCGTAGACTGGTAGGAAATGAACGTCACCAAACCGCCGCTTCCCATCTTGTCGTATTTAGCAAGTGTTGAGAAAATCAGTATCATATGATGGATGCATTAAATCGATTGACGCGAATGGGTTGAGTTCTTTTTGAGGGTGCGAGTTGTCGATGGCTGCGAGGACATTTCCGACGTCAAGTCTCCTGCCTGAGACATCTGCCACAACATCCCCACAAAGCGTTCCTGGTAAATGATGGAGTCAGAAGGGCCATGTTCCCCGTTTACAGACTACTTGACTCCAACCTTCAAACCGTCTCAATTTGATGCTTCCGCGTGCGCTTTTCACTTAAACAGTTGTTCATGACTACTGTGGTCTCACACATTCCAACTTTTGCCACATTGCGATTGG